GAAACTACCTCAAATGATAAAACAAGGCTTTATTACAAAATTCATTTTATGGTTATGTATTAATTGTTCTCATACTTTAATTGAACTTGTTGTTATATTAATTAAGTACTTGAATTTTTAGGAAAAAAAGTTAAATAAAAAATAATAATAATAATCTCTTGAATATCTTTGGTCTCTATCATTTCTTCTATCATAACGGTCATATCTCAATCTTCTTTTATCATCATAATTTCTATCTCTATAATAATCTCTTTCACTTCTAGAATACCTATCTCTATATGTATCATTATGATTACTTCTTCCTCTTGAACGTGATCTAGAACGACTTTTCTTTCTTTCATTGTAATAACTATCATACTCTTTTACTTTATCGTGGTGGTTGTCTGTTTTCATCATAGTTTTCTTTTCTAATGAAGCCAATATGTCATCAACTAATGCACTTTCTTTCTTAGTAACAATTGGTTTGGATTCGTTCTTTGATTTAATTACTTTGTTTGAAAGAACTACTCTAATAGGATGGTCATTAAAACTTGACCCATCCATTTGTAATGCTCTCAGTGCTGCTTCTTCAGTTTCAAATTCAATAGTAACCTGTCTAATAGTAGTTTCTCCAGTATTAAATTCCATTAAGTTAATATTTCCACATTTTTCAAAGTATTTTTGAATTTTATCATCAGAGGCATTACCAATATTACGAACACAAATTGTCTTTCTTAACTTTGTTGAAGCTTTACTCTCAGAATTAAAGTTATTCTTTAAATTTGTTGTTTCATTATCTTCGTTCTTAAAAATCTCCTCAACCTTTTTTATATCTTCAGGTTTTTCCATTAAAAAAACAGATAAAGGTAAATCACCAAGTTCAGCTTTTTCAATATACTTACATGTTTCTGTACTATCTTTTTCTTCATAAAGAATGTAGTAATATCCACAAAGAATTGGATGAGTAATTGTTTTAATTTGTTTTAAGTCAAGAATAATACCAAAATTCTCAAAGATTGAGTACAAATCATCTAAAGTTACTTTGGGTGTAACATTACCAATAACCACAACTTTATCAATGTCTTCACGTTCTTTAATGTAAGGAATGAGAAAATAAGGGATGTGTTGTTCTATTTCCATTTTATATTCTTTAATTCTTTTTTAATTATTTTTTTAGTGTTAAGACTCATCATTTTGTTTTATTGCGTTCATCCCAGTTTGATATTTATTTGGTAATAAAAAAAAGAATTTGACCATTCCTTTTCTTTTATTTTTTATTTATTCAATAGAAATGGTAAATACTATTAATAAAATCAAAATATGTAATATTGTTATATAAAACTAAAATAACAAAAAAACAAATATCAAATAAATAAAAAACAAATAAATAAATATTAATAGAATTTGTATTTATTATTTGTTATTCAGTGGAGATTAATCTTATCAATGAATCTTCATCATTTTTGACTTCTTTTATGATGTCAATTTCGATTTTTAATTCTTTAATTAATTTAATACTTTCTATATTCATTAATTAATTTATTGAAATTACTACTGTATTTATTTTGAAGTCCTTTAATTTCTCTATTTTAATTATCATATTCTTCAATTCTTTATACCCATTTCTTTTATTCAAATATACTCCATTAATATTGTGATCTGCCACAATATTCATATCAAATATTAGACATGTTTTATTCTTTTTATTTAGTACATATATATCTGATATTTTATGATATTTTCAATCAATTTTTGATATTATTTGTTTGTTCAATATCATAGTGATGTCATTGTATTAGAACACTGTTTCATATATTAATTTTTTTATATTGATTATTTCATATATTTTCTTATTAATTAATATAATAATACAAATATTATCATGTTTCTCATTTTGTGATTTTTTATGAATAATACAAGATAATAGAATGTGTTCTACTATTGATATCTTGTATTTACAAAGTGGATAGTATTTTAATCATTTTTAATATTTTATCTTTTCTATACACATTGAATATTATTTTATTTTG